TTATTTCTGAAGAAAATTTGATTTTTTTTATTCAATTTCGCTATAGAAAATAACATTCACATGAAAAAACAGGAGTTGACAGCGTGTAATAGTTTGAATTCATTTCTACTATTCAGAATAGTGGAAATATTTGGTGAAGAATGTCACCACCTATCTTGCATACGAGCTGTTTACTCGGCAAGCGATGTAAGTCAGTTTTCTTGATCTTATGAAGAATTAACTTCGATTTACACGATTTCACATTCATTACTAGACTATAAATTTTTATGTAAGTATAGATTTATCTACGTTATTTCATTAAAATGAGCATCAATCAGAAGCTTATTTTTCCGTTAAGAAAATAAAGTAAACGTCACATCGAATCTCGATTAAAGCATTAATTTTGCTGTATTTTTCAAAATCTGAGTTTACCATGCACGCGTGAAGTACAAATATAAATGAAAGCATTCTTTAACAAAGTTTTAAGAAACTTTCTAATTTATTTTTAACTTTATAAAATCCTTAGGAGAGAAAATAAATTTTCATATAATACTTATCATTATAAATTACTCCAGAAAAATATATTTCGCATGAAGGATTGCAGTTTACTGTAGCTTACTTAATTTTCATATTAAAGACAAATATTCATGCTCTAGCTCGTATCAATGAGAGAGCAAAATTCATATTGCTTTGGGAAATGGTAGACCAGATGAACTACCTAACATGATCACCTCAAATTATTATATTGTTAGTAGATCAATTAAAGGATTTTTTCAAGAACATGGTTCAGAGAGATATTCTTTAGACGATTACACTGATTTCTTGATAATTACTTCTTTACGAAGTTTTTGTAAAATAAATTAAATAATGGATTACTTATTAAAAGTAGTTCTGATCTGTAAACACAATCAAAATCTACAATTTCGAAAAACATATTTTTTATGATTCTCGTTTCAATATTAAAAACATTATAGTTTCATGGTTATCTAAAAGTCCTCTAAAACAGAACCAAATTTTAATAATCGCAAATTTCTGAATTATTTGGCAGCGATATTAATTTAATTTGCAAACCAACATGGTGTCTTCGGATAATAATTAAAGGAATTTTGAACGTAGCAGGGTCATTGAAATGTCTGTAAACAGATTTCCGATAGTGAACACGTTAGCGTGGAGAAAGAACGAATCGTGATGATTTCAAAGACATCTCTAGACTATGTGTTGATCGAGAAAAAAAATTCTTCCAACGAACAATAGAACGATTTAAGGCGATCGTGGTAGATGATTCATCTTGTGTGATTGCTAATGCAGTAGCAGACTTCAAGATTCAAGACTCGGAAACCCGTCAGTTAAGTACGACAGCTGATTCGTGCTCATTTATCGAACCATTTGAGTGCAGAGGGGCGAAAAGTGAAGGAGTTTGAGATGGAGGGTTCGATGAAAGAAAGAAATGGTGCCGTTGTTATTTTTAACACTATTTAAAAAGTTTATTAACTGATACCGATCGAATAACAGTGAATCACGAACGATTTAATCTGTCTCGACGAGAAGACAACTGCTGGACGTGCGATATTAGCGGTATATAGCTGCGTACAACAGCCGTTTCACGCAGGGTGGAAACGCAGGAGAAGTCGTGGTTCCTCCGTTTCCGGTTTCGGGAGGAGCACGATGGCGGTCCTCTGCACCCAAATGGCCGAGTATGTATATTCTATCGCCGACAAATGTTGTTCGTGCGCGCTTCTCAACTTTCTGCGAACTGCGTATACATCGCCGAATGAACTATCGCGATTCGTTGCAAATTATAATTTCACGTTCGGACAGCCTCATCGATGGTTCTTGGACCTCACAGACGAAGCCGGCTAACAGCGGACTTAGAAAAATAGCGATCGGGGATCGGTTCGCGGTTTTGCGAGGAGCTGAAACGGACGAACCTTCGCCTCGCAGGGAGGGCTATAAATTGTTGATCGATTATTGCGACGATGTGCGTGAATCGGGACACGGTTACTCGCAAAACTGAGCGTGCGTGTATCCAACGAGAGAACACGTCGGAGAACGGTTAAAAGAACTTCTATGCTCGGAGAGTTAGTAAGATAGGTAATAAGGGTATACAATGCGGCGTTCTTTTTTCTTTAATATCGGTAGACACACTAAGTTGAGCTTTTATTTCTAGACAATTAGTCTCGTGTTCTTGTACAGAAATATCGATAATTTTATTTTCCAGTTTGTCGTGTAAAATATCGTTTAGGTCGTTATAAACTACACTTAAGATGTTTAACGTTCGCAAATTAGTATACAGTCTATGGTGGAAAGTCTTGATACGCGTTTGCGGTAGGTGTTATTTCGTTTAACGAGATCGAAAGTCGTTTTCTCTAATATGCTGACGATTTACGACGGAATCTGTTCTCGTTGTTGGTGCACACAGAATTTCACGAATAACCGTGCGTTCCGTCTTTCTGTATTCGTTCTCATGGTATGTCCGTAAAATGGCGAACATTGTGAGACCATCCTCCGTTGCGTTAATCTTCGGATTGCGACCGATTTGACCGAGATTCTTCCTTTTCGATTAATCATTTTCTCCATTGACTTTGTGTCGCACGTGCACAAATAGTATTCGCACGCGTTTTGTTCGCGAGACGCACCGAAACGATAAGAAAACAGCAACGCGGTGTGCTACGTTCAATTAATATTTACGCCGTACTTGACCACGTTCAATTTTATTTCTGAACCAAACACGATGTGTATGCATGTGTATATTATATACATATATAGTATTTATAGTAATAAAAATAATTCGCGGTAACAAACGTTCGTTCGTGTATGTAGTGACGCGCATTAATTGAACGCGAAAAGCATTTCGTTGGAATTAATGCATGGCGGGAAATAGAGAAAACGCATTGGACCGCAAAGGATTAACTATCGATCGAATCGCTAACGGATATCTCGGATGTGTCGTGACCAGAAACGGGCAGCAATTTTGTCTGCACAAAACACTGCGAATAATCAACGAAACGAATAACATTTTGGTCGTTGTAGATCGTATAAAATGGAAATTTCGATCGTGGATTCAAACGATATCGTACATCGAACGTTCAGGTGGGTTACGCTACTTATATACGCTATTTTCGTTTATTATTTGTCAGCGAAACAAAACTCTGCCCGTTTCTGGCCGGGAAATGCTTGGAATCGGCGATCAAATGAAACGATACTGGTTGCTGATTAAGTACGTTCACGTGGATAACGTTTATGCGAAATGGGAAGTAATGTTTAATGAGCGTCCATGAGTCACATGAGAATGTACACTGCTCGATATGCGATATTGAACCAAGCAACGACAATAATAACGCGTTTGTCGAGGTTGCGGCACACAAAGATTCTCGGATTCGCCCTTCGATTCGCCTGTCGCTTGTGCCCGAAAATCGTCCCCTGCGGATACTTGACTGGTTTTATGAAACAGCAGAGATTAGAAAAATATTTTATATTCTTTTGTTTAACGATGCTGCGACGAGTGCTTTTTCGAACGGAAGTGTCATTGAAATCGATGGACCGTGTCGGGCACATGCGAATCAAAGCGACGTTGCATCTATGGAAGTAGGCTCGCGAATAATTCTGTTTTTAAGCATTGTAATTTTATCGAGCCGCGAATTTCATTGTCTCGTGATTCAACACAAAATGCCAATATTATTGTCGTATCTTGTTCAAGTGAACCAACGTTTCCCAATCGGTAGCTTAGGATGTTATGTGAACGAGTTCCTTGTCCGTGGAAATGGACTCTTAGTTTAGCACAATCTTCTCGGGAAGAACAAGCAGTCGTTTAATAAATAGTTA